CCTATACAAAGACTTGCGGTGGCCAGCCGATGTACAACTCAGTGCTTTCATCCTCCCAGACAAGTCTGGTACCAATTCAGAAGGGATGGAAGGCTTGGTTGGCCTAGGCGGACATCGATCCGGGATTCGAACCGTGACCATTCGTATGTGATAGTGCGCCACTTGCCACTACACAACTTCCGCCCTTCCCAAAAATATGAAGCTTCAAAAAATGAAAAGTAGCGGGGGGTGACTGAGGTGCCAAAAACCTCTCTTGTGATCGGATTGGGTCTTAAAAATCATCCTGATTCAGCATAGTCTTTCATACTTTCAAACTAATCAGTCAACTTACCCAAGAACAGCTGAGTTTATGAACACGATAGCCAAATAACCGAGGTCCAAAGTGAATGTGAAGGTGAGCATGGCGAGAAAAGATAAAAAATAGTCGAGCAGAGTGGTTAGTCTGAAAGAAAAAATATCAAGTTAGGAGCCCAGCAGAAAGATCAAGCGCTACCCGAAGATTTAGAAAATTTTCACCACTCTCGTACTTGGAATCTACTGAACGAATAGGTTCCTAGGAGCTTTTGCAAAAATGACCGTGACCGCTAAGTGCTAAAATGGCCGATTCTGCCCCGTTAAGTAACGTGGAGAGTGGTACTGAGCTCTGATTTCTGCTTATAAAGTTTTTTTTNTTTTTTTTACTAACTGAGAAACCGCAGAGAAGGTGTGAAGTGTCAGAACTGATTCGGCCTCAGGTAAGTTTTGGAAGAACTTCGTCTTTTTCTTCCTACCACGATCACTGCTACGATAGAGTCCAATATCTCCAAGGATTTGAGACAGACCGAGTTTTCAAAAAAAAACTTTTTCCATGTTTTAAAAGGAAACCAACGTACTTGAATTTTTTGAATCTATCAAGTAAGAAGCCGCCGGCAACGGAGCCGAGCATGCCCGAAACGACAATGACAACACCGATCTGACCAATTGCCACTGATTCTTCCGGATAGAATGGCAACACCATCTGAGCCAGCAACGTCGAAACGGCATAAAATACGCCGGTATTGATTCCTGAAATTTCCCCATTCTGTCAGAGATATACAATTACTGGGAACTACCTAATTCTCAGTTTTGCCATTGAAACTTTAACAAACTACGACCTTACCAGTTGTTTACCGACAGGTCTGAGTATTTTGAACAAAACGTTGCACAGTTCAAGGTGTTAATGAGATCTAAGTGCTTCTGTTACACACCAGTGCTTGTGTATTACTACAATTACCAACTGCCCTGTGTTATGAGCGAGGTGAAGCCCAAACTCTAGGTCTTTGATTAATCAAAGGTCAATTTGACGACTATTAAATTGTACTAAGGATAATGATTTAGTTTTTGACTTTAGTCAACCCTACTCGTCAGATGCAACCCGTGATGAGTCTGCTACCAATGAATCGACCCCCTAAAAGATGGAAGTGTTGGTTAGTCTGGGCTGGAAGGCCAGCCAAATGTTTAGTTGGATTTTTTTTTCATTGAAACCTGGGCAACATTAAATATACAAATTCCTAGTGAAATGTTTTATGATGAATTATGGAGCCTATGCGATCAGCAGCAGCCCCTTAAATTGGTTCATCACCTTGGTCAGTTTTACTAAATAGCCTTCCTTATTGTTAGTTGATAAACTGGTACCAGGCTCGAACAATCTGTAGGCTTCCAAAGAGCCTGTAGAGTGATCCATGAACTACAGTTTGGACAAAGACGCCAGTACCCGATCATGCTGACGCCGCTGTTTTTTAATGCTCCCATGGAGTCAAAAGAAATATTGCCTCATAATAATTTGAAAGAAGGGCCTACCATATGTAACGAACAACAACGCGAAATCTTTGCTCAGACAGAGTTTCTTGAGCGTTCGCCAGAAGTTGCCATCAAGAGTTTTCTCTTCTTGGGCAGTGATCTGAGCAAGACTTGGTGGAGTTGGTGGTCGTGCCGAAAAGACTGAAATCAACATTCGTTAGGACGAGGGTCAGACAGACTTCATGAACGAAATCAAAGAAATTACGAACAGCAGAGGATCAGAGCGAAGATAACGGTGTTCAGTAAAGCTGAGTAAAGAAAGAGATGGGTGAGTCTAGAGGAGACTTCTTCTTGAGTGCCATTTCTGACGATTATCGGCGGTACCAGGAAACCAACAGCGATACCCAACTAAATCAAACTTCAGTCATATAATGGTTTTAGTGAAATTCTGAGTAAAATGTCTACCCTACCTGATTCCCGAACACACCCGCTGCACAAGCTGTGGACACTTCATTGGGTCCAAACCATACGGCTGCCAATCGAGGTGGAATACCAAGAGTGAACATCTGCGATGCACCGACGATGGTCTGACCCACGAAAGTGATCCAGAAACCGTCTACAATCGTACAAGATGAATTTAACACACAATGTTCTCGTCGCTTGAAAAAAAAAGATCTCTACCTGGGTTCGTCGAGAACATTCGAAGCCACGAACCCAACGCATTTCCGGTTGCACCAAGCAGAAGCGACACTCGTAGACCATACTTATCTAGCACGTAGCTGAAATGAAATGAGTCATGGGAGAGAAGCTGTCGTACATTTCGGAACTATCACAGACTGAAACAATTTGCAAAATTAGAACTTGGTAGTAAGCAGTGGGTATGGTGCATTAGGAATGAAATGGTCGCGTCGCGGTGAGAGGGGTGTCGCGCGCGAAGAAGTGTAGCAGGATGCAGCAGTAGGTAAGGAATACAAAAACAAAAGTACTAATAGTAGAATTATGCGTAAAATAATGATCGCATATCGACTGAGGTGTATGAAGAACGCTAGAGCCGTAATAACGGCGAGTGAGTGGTCCGCGACAGCCGCGCGCGGCAAATCGATTACCCAAAATCGTTCCTAACGCCCGTCTCTCGCAAAAAGTCATTCGCCCGGGTCAATGGAACCCATGTAAATGACTGGTTAACGGTGTTTTTGTAAGTTGTTTTGCGCTGTCTTGAGCTTCTGGGGTGACGGGCGGAAGTGGTGTAGTGGAAAGTGGTGCACTGTTCAGGCACGCGCGGTCATGGACCTGAAGCCCGGACCCGGATATTCGAACCCGTGACCATGTGTGAGATATGCAGTGCGATACTTGTCACTATACCACCTTCATCTGATCCTCTTCTTTTACAAAATCTGTATCTAGGAAGGGTTAAATAGATGAGCGCAGAGGTACAGCGGAGGGGACCGAATCTGAGAATATGCCGCAATCTTGTGGACTTTCGTTTTGTGAAGTCCTATTTAGATCAGCGGGAACAGCTCCAGATTTAAATGAAGTTCAGAGTTCATGAGAAGGAAATTGTAGATCGAAATTAGGGGAGGAGCTTTGGCATAGGTCCTCGCCTACTGTCGTGGAGTGAATGATCATGATTTCAATGAGCAACTCGAGCAATAAAGCTAGGCATTGCTTTCACTATCAGTTGGACTGACCTTGAAGGCAATAAAAAATCATGTCTACCACATTTTCGATTATTTACGATAGGTAGGCGGGACAGCTCGACAGAGTGCGGGTTCTGGTCCACGACTTGTGGCAGTTCCAGGAACTTCTTCAGTGCTCACCGTTTAGTAAACGATGCTGGTTGCCTCGAACAGCGAGAAAACACATTGACTTGTTGAACTTTTTCCATCCTATTACTACTTCCCATTACACAGGTAGAACAGAAAAAATGAGGGGATGCCGAATGCAAGCGAACCTTGGCATTTGTATGTATGCCGGCACATGCTATTCTCACATCAACAATAGAAATGTACGAGTACGAGGACCTCACCCAAAAGCCAGCAGCCCTAGGATATAGAAGTGATATGCCACACTGCGATCCGAATGGTAAAATTCGGTGTATTTTCAAGGTATGGACGTTACCAGAAAGTTAACTAGGTAGAGTGAATACCGTAAGGAACCCCTACAGTATGCTAAGAACCGTTGAAGGTGAAGATATGAGGCTTCAGCTCTCTCCCAAGTTGCGCCCCGCATTCGACTTCCATTCAGAATCTTAGTGGCGTACTGAATGCGTATGTGGCCTATATAATGACTTGCAGTGGCCAACCGATCTACAAGTCTTTTATCCTCCCAGAAGAATTTGGTAGCAATTTGCCGGCTCCGGAGGAAATGAAGGCTCAGTTGGCCTAAGCAGATGTTTGTCCGGGATCCATACCCGTGACCATATGCGTATGATGTGCATCACTTGCCATTACGCCACCTCCGCCGATTAAAGTTTATTGGGGATCAATCTAGATCCACAATTCGACAAACTGTCAGTGCCAGTTGTGCAAGAGAAATTGGTCGAAGCTCTCAACAGTCAAGTCGAACGACCATTGCTCCATCGAGCACTTGTTCACGCGGACAGTCGCAAATACACGCTTAGAACAAACAGATAGGAAAAAAAAGAACTTCCCGTTGAAGTGCTCTGTTAATCGATAGATGAGAGATCAACATCGAATTACTTAACAACTGGCGTGTGAAGCAGTCAGTAAATTATATCATGTTCAATTGAAAATCAATGGATCTGGATCCGATCCAAATGTACTTTAGCTTATGCTTCAGCAGTTACGGAGAACATATTTACCCAGATGATACTAGAAAAGTTCGCCACAAAGTCGCAAAGTCAATTTGTCAACCGGAATTTGTCACGAGGTCTTCCATAAGTTAACAAAAAAAACTATAGTAACAGCAAAAATAGCCCACTTTTTTAGCCTCTTGTGGTAGAAATTAAATAAGGGGACACAGCAGCAAAAAGAATAACAGAGAACAAAGGAACAGCAGAAAACATCGCCTCATTACTCGGGCATTAGCTGATTGTGTGTGGGTCCTAGAGCGAATATTGTAATCTGTATTGCCTCGACACTCGTCTGACGTGACACCGATCGAGGGAGCGGGAAGTGTGGGCGATCCGGTAAAGGGGCTCCAACTGTGCCTTACCTGTTGAGTTTTGAGGCTCGACAAGGTCTTTCCCGTCAACTTTGGGGGCCACTGTGAGTTCCTAGGGGGAGAACTCACAAACCATTTCTATCGTGAGCTATGCCTTTAAAGGCTCATGCTGTTAGTCTTGTACCGTTAGACCTTAAAGGTTTCGTGGATGAAAGGAGTTATTTCAAGGCCTTGAGTTCCGGAGTAATCGTCTTACCCCTCTTTGAAGGTGTGAATGCGCTTGGAGATTAGGGCATGAATAGAAGGCTTATGAAGTAAGACGATGACCGGTTTTTCTTTCGAGCAGAGCTTCTTCTTTTCTCCTTTCGTTCCAGGTACAGACTGCCATGTCCCGAAAGGTCCCAGGTGATACTTGTTAAAAGCCTGACTACTTCGCCCGGGGTGTCATATTTCTTCAGTTCGGGGGTAGGCTGACTGAAAGCTCTGGTAAAGTGAACCAAACCAGAAAAAAACAGCTCTGTTGAGAAGTCAACTGCCATATATAGCTACAGGTGAATGTGAATGTCTAGGGACTTAGCAGGTGATCCAGCCAATATTTTCTCCATGTTTTTCTCATTAGTTACTTGATTGTTTGCTCGTTTTACCGGACAGTATTCGCTTTAGCCGCTAAATTTGGTGTTGAGCTGAACAAAGGATGAAATAAAATAAAGTCTCAGCCTCAGAAGGCTGGCGAGTTACGAACAAAACTTCGGCCTCGAACGGGACTTGAAGCCGTAATTAGGCTAACTGGACACGATGCTCTATCCCTTATCCTGCCGAGACCCCGCTACAATGTGGTGAGGGGGTTAGCCCATATCAGCAGTTAACCGTTAGGCTGTGAGCTTTTCTTGTAAAAAATATCGAGTCAAAATAAGTCTTCAGCGCTAAATAAAAACAATCGCGTTTAAAAGAATGCGCCCCGCGTTTGACTTCCGTGTGGAATCGTAGGGATATTTGAAGGGGTTCGTCTCCTATGCAATGACTTCCGGTAGCCAGCCGATGTGCAAGTCAGCGCTCTTATCCACCCAGACGAGTCTGGTTCCAGTTAGCGGACTGCTTAGGGAGGGAAGTCCTGGTTGGTCGAGGCGAGCATCAATTCGAGATCTGATCCCCGGACCACGCGTGTGTAATAGTGCGCTACTTGAAGCTACACCACTCCGGCCATAGAATTAAACCTGTAGAAAAATAAGCAAACAAATAAACACAGTGAGAGGTATCACGCATAACAGGAGACTGTTCGCGATTAATGCCATACCAAGGGTTTCCAGGGTACCATTCCTCAAACAGTACAGTTAGAATTAGTACGTTTCAAAGAATTGTACAATGTCCGTTTCCATGACCTTTGACCTATGTGTACTTCAGCATTACTTTTCGATGATACCACCTCAGAGAGCGAGACTTCAGCTGGACTTTCCCATGCTTCATCTTGTAGGCAAAGGTGCTGTTGGCGATGTACTTGGACATTATCATAACAACCACACTTCATCTTCCTTCAAACTTCTGTTGATGTACTTTAGTCATGGACGGGTTTAGTCACCGAACGCTTCATAGAAAAAGTACGTCAAGGCTGTTACTTAGCCACAACTTCATACTCGATACTGTCTAACAGTTGGATTACTGGTATTTTCACGGAGGCAAAACGAGTAATAAACTCACGCAGCTGGAATGAACAGCACTATATAGGTGGCCATGTAGATCATGCTTGTCCAGTCAACAGCCGTAAAACTAAAATTGAAACTGATTTTCTTTTTTTTGCATGAGTTTTTAAGAGAACACCCACCTGACACCATAGAAGTCGGCAACAATTTGAGCTATGACGGAGTACATGATCCATTGGGCACCATTGGAAGCGCTGAGCAAGATAAACATCACCAAAATCGCCCATCGCTTTTTGTAAACCCTCGGCTCCGAAGCGGATTTTTCCATCTGAAATGATCATCAACAAGTATCCACCGTTCTTTGGGAAGGAGGTGGTGAAGAATATGAAGAAACGGCTGGGGGATGGGATAATCTGCACTGAGATTGCAACAATGGCTGACGACAGTGACTTCGCTTCACAGTCAGCGGTAAAAGCAAAATCAACAACACCAATTTTAAAGTAAACAAAATCATAAAAATCACATTGTGTTGTTTGAAGTGGCTAAGGGCAGAAGTACTTGAGAATATGAGATGGTAGGGAAAGCTAGGAATTGATCTCATGGATGATTGCCAAAACCCTCAATCAAGGTGAACCCTACACTTGCGTCGCTACCCTGGGGACCTCGACACCCAGAAAGCCGCTTATCCCAATTCTTAGAGCCCGTACGGGTAATTCCCTCGAGTACTGGCTACAGTAATTCTTTGACAAGAGGATGTAGCTCGAATTTATTCAAGGATCACATAGGGGATACGAAGTTGTCAATATGTTAACGACGATTAAGTCACTTACCTGTAGGTCGTTACCGATTCCCATGTCGCCACTTTTGCTGCTGCCACTGGAGGCGGCAGTCTTGTCCGCTGACACGGGCGGAACCTCAGCGACACGCCCACTTCCCGGCTGAAATCACATATATTAGAGTTAATGAATTGTACTCATGACGAATATCAACTGTGACATCTAAGAGGAGGGAAATTACTAGTAAGGAATGGCTGTAAAAGAACTTCATAGATGCTTTAGAAAGACAAGATCCAAAAAGGAAAAGGCTAAATTTTTCGTAAATTCCTATATAGTAGATCTCTTAATTGGGGTTTCTTCTAAAGCAAATCTTCGATTCCTGACGAAGCCTAAGCGACCAAATGGTTTTGGGAAGAACTTTTTTCCAAACATTCCTTGATTGTTTACAATTAGCTCCCCCTACTCGCTCTCCCTATCCAATGTTGACTGCAAAAAATTTTCAAGAGTAGTTGAGCCTANTGAAGCCAGATGAGCTCTATTTTGTTAAGGCGCAGTCATTGAAGGGAGGGGCTGCTCCATAGGTGAGTAAGTGCCACTGATGTTTATGTTATTGCACTGAACCCGCTACTGAAGTTTATTCAAATACAGGGCAATTCAAATAAAACCAAGCTATTTTCTACCAACACTGAATTGAAATCCGCTCACAGCTGAGTAGTCTTTCTGTGGACTTATTCGGGTCATGGAAAAAAGTTTTGGACTATGCTATAGGCGCCAAAGCCATACCATAGCCAATAGCAGTAATACACCGCGTTAGAATAGTAGACGGGGGTTGCGATAAAAGATGGACACCTGATAGACAAGACAAATTTCGCAGTCCGTGAGATTCTGTTTTACAGTAACCATGCATGAGATAGGAGAAATACTAGACGACCCAAAAACCCGACATATATACCACCCTATGAAGTAGAGTGAAAAAGGTTCTGAGCAAAGAGTCGTGTGAACAAGTGGGCCTGCATTTCGTCACAAGTACGTATTCGAACCAGAACCCTAAGCTGGATTACTGTATCACAAAACCACATAGCATATGGTACCTGAATAGTATCCAGTATTCAGCCTTGCCGATAGTCAGGTACCGGAGGGGGTATTTGTGATACAGCGGTCTAGGCTCGGACCGTAGTAACCTTAGCTCCTTTAATTGCGTCGTGTATGGGATGACAGTCCCCTGGTAGCTGAACGTCCCTGCTGTTTTACTGAACTTTCTAGTTACTGTATTTCACAACCCCTACGATATCTGTCCATTGGTCTTCCCATTCTACTCGGGGAGGAGGGGCCGTCCCTTCTGCCTGGCTGTTAGGTTACACCTTCTATCACTGGAACACAGATCTATGAGAAGCTGAGCAAAAGAATATTCATAAGCCTTTTGGACGGAGGTGATGTCGTCCAGCAGAAAGCGCTGCAGGGAAGGGTGATTCATCAGATGAACTTTATACGCTAAAAAGTCGACAACAGACGTAGTGCGATAGGACTTTAAGGACAGTAAAACCAGTTGAGAGTGCTGATATATCATAAGTCAAATCAACATTTCTTTAGAGTACACCCAAATCAGCTCATAATCAGCTGAGCCACGCATTCACACTGCCAATAGTAAATGCCCGCATGTCTGAAACCGTGCACTCGAACGGAAATTTCGTGGCAGGGCCGAGCCCGTAATGGAGTGCGCCTTCACATTCAACCTGTACTTGGAAAAGTAGAGAGGCTTGAATTCGTACGAGACCTATACATAAGTGACCGTTAGGGTGGCCGATGTATATACATACAAATCAGTTCTTCTCTCCTCCCACGCAGGTCTTGTACAAGTTGAACGACAATGGAGAGATTAAAAGCGCACTTTTGTCCATGCTGATGGACAAAAGGCTAAGCCCAAGTCTAAAGGTTGATTACGCGGCAGAGAACTGACTGAAAAAGCACCAGAAGCTTGAAATCGTACAGAAAAAACAAGTTGGTCTCCTATGCTAACCGTCCATTCCATTGAGATCTGTCTTGCCTTCTGCACTGTACCGCCTACTTGAAAGCTAATACCGAGCGATTTCTTTCGTAAATTCGAATACCACAAGTGATTCTGCTCATAGGAGAGGAAGTACCTATGTGATAGGGCGTATAAGGAGCCTTGCACTTGTAATTCTTATTATGAATGATGGAATAGAGCTACGTTCATGAACTTTTATTTCTTTACCTACTCAAATAACACCCCAAACAATGAAACCTTTACATAATGAGTTCATCACTCATGACTGAAGTACAAGTCATAGCACTCTATGCAATGGAGTAATCGATCCGACAATTAGCAGGTATTACCCAGATACCTTGATAGAGCTCTCTATCTGGGGAACATCGAGGAAAATATGACCTTGGTGGCTGGGAGTAAACTAATACTTGGATACTCATGGGCAATTTATTGTTTCTGAGACAAAAGTTTTCATCTACCCCTCCAATGTACCGAGTTATGAGACACATAGGACTCGGTAGCCATAGGTTAGCGTGTCCATCTGGGATTTGATCCTTGGGTGGTATGCATGGCAACGGCGCCATTTAACAATAGTCAACTACGCTCAACTGAATTGATACATACAAACAAGGAAATTTCGAATTCTGATGAAGCTCAGAAAAACCTTTCCTGGGTTTTTGCAGAAGAAGTAAAGAAGACAGGAATTTTTCAATGAATGGTGGCTCTCATATAAAAGGAAGTAGTTCGAGTAAGCAAAGCTGTTGGGGCCACAGAGAAAGCATCTTTCTCACGGATTCATTAATTATTCCACCCACAATTCAATCATAGCCACCAAAACACAACTGAGGAATACGGATAGTAATGAACGTACGTACGTATGTATCAGTTTGTAATCAAAAAACTTGGATATATGGAGGTAAAAAGAGAAGAGAGAAGTTGTATTCGTTGGCTTTGCCTTTTAGTCATATGAATAGTTGTATCGGTCATCACCGGACACTCATCAGTGACTAAGTGATGGCAAAAGAAGGTGGATATCAAACATCCTCTACGAAAAAAAAAACAGTCGAAGAAACGGTAGTGTGAAGCGAGCAAGGAGTGCGTAAGTGAATGAACTACGTAATGTTCACTAATGGGCGGAGGTGGCGCAGTACCAAGTGGCGCACTATCACACACGCATGGTCACGAATTCGAATCCCGGATCGGT